TCCATGAATATTTAATAGAGTAAGTTCCATTTTCAGAACAAATAACCAAAAATAAATATTTTTGTTTTCTTATATTTCAGGCAACATATATTTATTCCAGTATTGCCCGGAAGTCTCCTTGATTACTTAAGGTGAGTCATTTAAAAGTAGTATTTTAAGATATACAGAATGTGAAAATAATACATAGCTTTACTTTTTGTACCATACTGTGATCTAGATGTTTGAGTTGTTGATTAAATTGTTAAACCATGGCAAGTTTAAATATGTTAAGCAATATAAAATTTACCAAATATATATCTCGACACTATTAACTATAAACATATGAAGTGTAATAAAATAGAACTATCAAAGAACATGTAAACTCCAGGAACTTTAAGGCAAATTTCAACGAGGATATCAACTTTACAAATGTTGCAGATTTTAAACTGATTTCTAATTGAAACATAAAACTTAATCCTGCTTTAGATTTCAAGTTTTTTGTAAAGGAATTCAAGAGTTTTAGTTGAGAACATATAATCAGTCTCAACTATTACATGAATATTAATTCTTAACTATTACATGAATATTAATTCTTATTGATTACATGTTTTCTTACTGATTACATGTTCTCAGGTTGATAATTGATTAATTTATACACAGATGCAGTGATTGTGAGGAATTATTAGTAAATAAATGTTATATGTTAGAATACTAAACAGCTTATAGTTCAGGAAAAAGTCGGAAACCTTTTCAAACTTATACATAACTGCCTTATTGATAACTGAACAAGTAACTTTCTCCTTAAAGAATGGACAGAACATTGTTTGTTTGTTTGAAGTTAAGCACAAAGCTACACAATGGACTATCTGTGCACTGCCCACCACAGGAGGGAGGCTTTTAGCCTTGGAAGCGATATCATATTTTTTTATTAAAGTTGTATTCTTTAGTTTTACTAAGAAATAAAGAGAATCGGACATTTCACACGTAACTTCACACCCAGTTTCTAGCGTTGTAAGTACGCAGACATACCGCCCTGCCACTGGAGGGCTGGATAGAATAAGTCTAGACGATTCAAAACAATTGAATAATAAGTTTTTCTAACACTAATTTTTTAAACACTTTTATGTTTTATTGTATGACAAGTAATTTAGTCACACTAACTAATGACAAATTATGTGCTGGTCAGAAGGATTCAGGGTTAAGGCAATGCTGTCACCTCATTTATTACATTACTGAACAAGACTGTCCCTAGTACCAATAAGTCAATGTTGTCACCTCATCTATTACATTACTGAACAAGACTGTCCCTAGTACCAACGAGGCGATGTGGTCACCTCATCTATTACATTACTGAACAAGACTGTCCCTAGTACCAACGAGGCGATGTGGTCACCTCATCTATTACATTACTGAACAAGACTGTCCCTAGAACCAACGAGGTGATGTGGTCACCTCATTTATTACATTACTGAACAAGACTGTCCCTAGTACTAATGAGGCGGTGTGGTCACCTCATCTATTACATTACTGAACAAGACTGTCCCTAGTACTAACGAGGCAATGTGGTCACCTCATCTATTACATTACTGAACAAGACTGTCCCTAGTAATAATGAGGCGATGTGGAAATACCAGCATTCCTGCTTTCCCTCTCTGAAAACATGTTTCTTCCTTATCCTTATATTACATTTTAGTCTATATTAAGATGCTATAAACTTTATGTATTGTTGAGTTATTAATAACTTTTCACCAAAAGCTACACGAGGGCTATCTGCGCTAGCCGTCCCTAATTTAGCAGTGTAAGATTAGAAGGAAGGCAGTTAGTCAACACCACCCACCACCAACTGTTGATCTAATTGTTTACCAATGAATAGTGGGATTGACCATAACATTATAACACCCCCACAGCTGAAATGGTGTGCATGTTTGGTGTGACAAGGATTCGAACCCACGACCCTAACCACCAGGCCCCTTCATTTTGATCTGCTAACTACAGGGAAGAGAAATTGCTGGCAGCACCAACCACCAATTTTTGGGCTACTCTTTACCAACAAATAGTGAGACTGAACATCACAGTACAATGCTTTCGAGGCACAAAGGGTAAGCATGCTTGGTGCCAGGTTTTGATCCCATGATTCACAGATTGTGAGTCTAGCGTACTAACAACCAGGCCGTAAAAAATACAACACCCTGATCAAAATTTTAAAAACTTTTATTAAAACAAATATTTTAAATAATTCGAAAACAAGAAAGTGTGATAAAGATATTCTTACAATACCTGTTGCTTCTTGTCATTAGCTTTTAGTCTGACATCTTTATAGGCTTGCTTGCTTCTATCCTTGAACTAACAATAAATATAATTAATTTTGAATAATTAGATAATTAGTATGAGAAAAAAAAGTAAAATCAAAATTATAAGTTCCATCTGTTGCTCGTAAATAACTACAGCTGTACAGTCTTGTTATCAACAGTTACATATGAAAAAAAAACAGATTTTAAAACAGTACACAGAACTGGATGAAATCATCAGTTGTCCGTCAGAACAGCCTTCAACTGTACACTTACTGTTGACTAAGCCTCTCAAACAAATCAGTTAACATGTTTAGAAAGGTTAATATAATGCTGGATAAAACATTTGTATAAACATTTAAAATCAATTATTGGCCTTTAAATTGTATACAGTATGAAGACTCGTTCTATGTTAAAATCTCAAAATACATCAAAATATTTTGGACAACTTACCTTACTTTTCACACTTTTCAAGAATGTACTACTTCCTTTCTAAGAAAGTAAAAACAACGAATGAGTCGACCAGAAGCTATTTTAACATTTAAAACCAGCCTATCATGATATAAAAACTGTTTAGTTTAAATATTATTGATTCATTTATTTTGTGAGCAAATATGTTATCACTGTTTAGTTTTGTTATAATAAGAGTTAAAAGCAGACGACTGTAGGAAGTTGTGTTTATAATTCATTAATGTTGACTGTTTATTCATTGTTGAATTTATCACCAACAAGTCACAGACACCTGATGTAGAAGAATCCTAAGCCCAACAACAACACAATATATATTTATACTATTAAGAAATGTAAGTAAAAGCCTTTTATTTTGACAATTGACGAGAAATATTATATTTTAATTGACAAAGCTGTTTGTTAAATTTCGTGTGTAACCACATGACATGTGATTTAAAATTTTAACCAAGGTCCGGACCTCGGTGACCTCAAAGATAGCTTCGGCTATGGGTATAATGGTTACAAATAAGACATATGTTTGTGTTAGATCTGAAAGTAGAAACTAAGAACACAAAGAGATGAAATAATATTAATAACACACATCCCTGATCGTCCCTTAAAAGCAGAAAATTGTCCCCAAAATACTTAGTAATAGGGCCCAAAATGTAACTCAAAATATCCAAGCATAGACTGAACACGTTAAATAATGGGTGATTTAACCAAATAAGCTGATGGTCCGTCTTTAATGCCAAATGTTTGACTATTTTATACACAGTGGTTAAGTTTACGGCACTAATTCTATTATATTGTTGCAGTTTGGGTTTGCATTTCTCCGTTTCTCTTTGTATTAATGAATCTTAGGTAATAACTGATGAAGCTAAAAATATTGTTTACTTTTCAAGTGTTTACGCTCAAGATGTAATTACAAAAGTTCTTAGATCTCAGTGTTTTTTATCCTATCAACAGTTTTACGATTTTCACCAAATGATCCTCGATTTCTCTTCATCCTAATAATATTGTTCCAACAAAGGTCATGATAGAGGTACAGAGTTCAAAGCCCAATACCGATCAGTGTTTCCAAGTTAGTATATAGTTTTTCTCAAAAATGAGATAAACAGAATGGTATGGCTTGTTGTTAATAAAAACGGAGGATTTGGAAGTATTGCGATTAAACTTTCAAGTGTTTTTTCCAGGTCCTCCTGATAAAAACTTGACTTTGCAGTACTTCCGATACTGAAAAATAATTTTTACAAAATTCAAGGATTTCCAGAAATTGTGCAAGCTCCATCGTCCATACACTGCAAGAACAGGTCACGGCAAAGGCGAGTACATGTACCATTTACGAAAAATTTCACCACTAGTTCAGAAAGTACAATTTCTTTGTTTTTACAACTTTATACACCTTAATGGGCTTGCATATCATTTAATAAAACACCATTCTGTCCAATTTTCTCAAAATAACCTTAAGTGAAACATCAGTAACTTTTTCTTGTAAATTGTATAACAAGGATTCTTTTAATAGAAAAAGAATTTTCAAAGGAACAAAATATTAAGGAATTTCAAAAAAAGAAAATAAGTGACCGATAATAAATAACATCTTGCTTATTTGGTAATTCACCAGTAACAATTAAATGTTATACGGTAATTCCTATACGCTGAATTAGAGAATGGTATCCATTTTTCTCCATCACGTACATGTTTTTACGTTAAAGTACATAAGTGAATCGTTTTCACTGAAATCGGGTCACACTGGCTATAGATTTCTCTAGACCAATCACGACGAGAGAGTCTTATCGATCATTCTACAACCCAAACATGATAATAAGAAATGTTCATTGCGGTAAACGAAATAATAATTTGATCCGAGTAAGAGTATTTTTTTTTCTTCCCGATTTGTAAAAAATCCTTACGTGATAGAAAAGAAAAGATATTATATTTGAAATCTGCATAGTTGAATTATGGAAAATCCGTTATTAAAACCAAAACAACTTTTATGAAGTTAAAATTTGCAGGCCTGTGTTATCCATAAAACTAGACATATTTTTAGTGGACCACAAAACTAGAAATATTCATATTGGACGATAAAACTAAGTATAGTTGTAGAGGAAAAATATAATTTCATTGATGACAAAAACTCGATATTAATATCTTAAAGAGCTAAGCAGTAAGTATATTCACACATCATCAGCTAACCTTCATAGTATGTAACCACTCCTTGTATTGGGTTGTTAGTCCACTGTTGCTCTTATCCTCGTAACTGTTAACTTCAAATTCAAACTCATCACGAAACCCTTTCCCGCAATTTAGCAACTCAAGTCGTCCTTCAATAAACTATTGGTCCAAACAAAGAAAAAAAAAATTGAAACATTAGCTCTGATATACCCAATAACATTGTAAGTTTTATTACCGATTATAACTTTGAAAAATATTAGATCTGTACCTATCACCATACAGTGAGCTGTTCCTTAACTATTTAATAACAAATTTCCAGAGAGATTTAAGTACATTATATTAAAATAATTTTTAATATGCAAATCAGCAAAATTACATGCTAACCATAGCCAATATAAAATCATGGTAGAACTCTGCACGTGTCAGAGCTACATTTTGATGATGTTAGGATATCCCCTGTACTTAATGGCAATGGAAAACAAAGTAATATGGATCAACATGGGGTACTATGACCATTTGGATAGAAAGACCTGCAACAAGTCATACCACGGTGTTGGTAAACAAAATGCAGCACCTTGTAGCAGTTGAGAATTCTTGGACTCAAATTCACTTGCAAAAGTCATCAGTGCACCCCAGGCAACATTATGTCGCATAATTATAAAGGATCTTTGTCTGGAAAGGCACCACAAGTCAAGTGTTCATAAATTGCTTCCACAACATATCCATTCAACCATTGCATACCTCAAGCACCTGGAGGATGAAATGGGTATTCATGTTATTCCATATGAAGAAATATCAATCAAGTTGCCAGATGCAGGTCCTAGGAATGTGTGTGTGTGATCAGGATGTTTAAACCATCTTCCTCAAGATGGTATAGTGAAAGCATACGGAAAGGAATGATGTGCTTTGAACAGGTCAGTCTTTTGCTATGGAAACTATACTGCAGGTCTATTGCCAAAATGCACGGTTGTCATATAGAGGCTCCAAAATGGTTTTAATACAACATACTCAACTCTGTACAAGAGTTCTCACAAAATTGCTTTGATAAAATATCTTGAATTTAAACATGAATCTTGTGATACGACATGATAATCATCTAGAATAGTTATTTGTGATTTTCAACAAATGTTCTACTTTGACCTTTTTAACTTTTTTTTTTGGGGGGGGGGCTTCAATAACATTAAGTCATACTTCACAAAATTCAAATTTATTAATCCATTCTCTCTATTACTGGATGGCCACTCTGTCATGGTGGTGGTCTAGGAGTGGGTTTTCATGGCGACTGAACCTAAATCTGTCATCAAAATTTGTTTTCTTGGCCCTGGAGTCACCATGATTTAATATGTTTTTATATATTTTTTTGTTATATACATTAACTCAGGTATCACTGGTGGATGTCCTAACAGGATTTTTTCCCCCCCCACCTGAGGTAGCTATAGAAGTAAAAGATAAAGATAACAGCTGAAGATAATCAAGGAGTTTAATTGGTCCTTTAAGAGCCTCTGTGAATCATGAGACAGCCTTTGGACCTCACATAAGAATGTGGGTATTTGATACAATTCTTCTAAAAACATTTTACCTTAAAAAAAGAAAGAAAAAGAAAAAATGCAACCTGCTAACTCTGTGTTTCAGATATGGTCACTTTTACAACTATTAATTTTTTATTAATGCATGGTAAGAGTTGGTCAGTATAATACCATCAACAAGATTGGGTTGAAGGTCTTTAAAAAAAAATTAAACATCTTGTAATTAAATTGGTTTCTAAATATTTCATAAGAATTAATTTCTTTTTTTTTTTTACACATTTCTAATTCTTCCACTACCAAAATTCATAGTTTTATACATATTTTGATATTATCCCAGTTAACATCTTGTAATAACTAAACCTGTTTTGGTATGTACAGGATACTCTTTTAATGACAGTGTACTCTGATTAGTAAGCAAACCATAAATAATATTTTTCTGCACAATTTATGAAATAATACCTGTTGGAATAACTGAAGGTTCAATATTTTTTCCAACAACTTCTGCATTGACGAAGACCGAGACTGGATAAATTTTTCTGGATCAAAACTAATTTTCTCTCCTAGTTTTAATCTCAGTGCATCTCTATAACCTCCAATTAACTGGACTGTAGCATGTAGAAATGCACGAGGAATGCCATCCCCTAACATGGCGTTGGGATTTTTCAAGTTCTTTTTTAACAAAGCAACCTTTAGTAAAGAAGACAGTAGATGACAAACATTTTAGAATCATGTATGAATGATAAGTTACATTATGATTTTGTTAATTTAATGTTTAAAATATTTTGTAAATAAGCTACAAAAATTGAACTTGACGAAGAAAGAATATAATGATACTTCTAAGTCGTATTTACCGCATGGTTACAAAAATTACAACACAAATTTCTTTTTTTATAGATATAAAAAAAATTAACACGAATACAGGAAAAAAATATTCTCACAATCAATGAAAATACCAAAAGATAGGGAACAAAAAGCCACAGTAAACGGAACAAACTGTCAGAAGTCTTTATACTGGAAAAACTAGTTTCGCCACAATCGTGCATCCAGATTAGTTTCTCCAATATCAACAAGACTTATGACAGTTTGTTCAGTTTGCTGTGGCTGTTTGTCCTATAACTGCTACACATAACATTGTGTAATTTTATGATCCCTAAATATCATCTAAATTAATCAACAAAATTACATTTTTAAAGCCCACAAATACAAAATTCTCATCACTTCAAATGAAACATAATCATGGTCAGGCAGATATTCAACAAATCTTGTCAAAGCTGCTACGTTAATATGATTCATGTTTCACATAAATGTTCCCTAAAACTAGCAGAAACCTGCAAAACATTTGCTGTCAAATTAGTATCTTTATTGCAACAGTACTTCTTTAAATACAGCATTTATAGAATAATACAAAATAATTCTAATTGCAGGAACCGATATCTTAAGTCCACTTACCTTAGGCCTAACATGAGTTAAGCCTTTATTAAGTACAGTCTACATTTGATAAAAATATAAATTAGCAATGTAACTTGTGTACACTTTTTGCTTTATTTTTGAGCTAAACTTTACTGTACTTAATACTATCAATAAATAAACTTATAATGTTATTCTACAACCTAATGTCAGAACTTTTGAAAAACTTTGATAAGCTTTGAATATGTTGTTGTACAAAATGTCTACTAAAGTACATTTACACCTGTTATGTTTACATCCGTTAAAATGATTGTTATGAACTATTATGAAGTTCTAACTTGTCTTTAAACTTACAACTTCACCAGGCAATTTTTGTAAGTCATCAAAAGGGGTGTTGATATCGTTAGTATCAGCATCCAAGAACACTACTCCCTCCAGGTCAGACAGATCAACCTGCTATAAGGTCAATAAGTTCATAATTTTTGTTGCTCAAAGTAAAACAGGAAATCAGCGGTTCAACAGGTTTAAATATTTATGCTTATCTACACTTGCAATAGAATGTTAACCTTGAAAGTATCGAGCTATTAGATTTAAATCAGCGGTTCAACAAGTTTAAAGATTTATGCTTATCTACACTTGCAATAGAGTGTTAACCTTGAAAGTATCAAGCTATTAGATTTAAATCAGCGGTTCAACAGGTTTAAATATTTATGCTTATCTACACTTGCAATAGAGTGTTAACCTTGAAAGTATCAAGCTATTAGATTTAAATCAGCGGTTCAACAGGTTTAAAGATTTATGCTTATCTACACTGGCAATAGAATTTTAACCTTGAAAGTATCAAGCTATTAGATTTAAATCAGCGGTTCAACAGGTTTAAAGATTTATGCTTATCTACACTTGCAATAGAATGTTAACCTTGAAAGTATCGAGCTATTAGATTTAAATTTCAGTTTAAATAAAAACACTGTAACCATAATATTAACATTTCTGACAATCAATGGAATTCATTAGTTTCAAAACAAAAGAATTCATAATTTACAAAAACCACATGATGTGGTGAACCAATCCTGTTAAATGATTGCATCTGTTAAGAGAAAGAAAAAAAGAAATACTGCAGATAGTACTCTTGGATTACTTTATAATGTCCATAAAAATTACAATCAGATAAACATATATTTTGAATTCTGGCAACAGAAACATGATTCATCTAGTTTTTTACTGACTTGTGTTCAACTTACCATCTGTTTTTACTTATTACTGAAGTAAATTATTTCTTGTGTTTTTTTCAATAAAATTAAAATGATTCCAATGTTTGTTTATCACTATTTTTCCAAACTCTTAACAACATAACACCTGCAGAAGGCACTGAACAAAGATAAAACTAAACTGTGGTAATACTCTTAACAATATAACACCTGCAGAAGGCACTGAACAAAGATAAAACTAAACTGTGGTAATACTCTTAACAATATAACACCTGCAGAAGGCACTGAACAAAGATAAAACTGAACTGTGGTAATATGAACAATATCACTGAAGATCTAAGAAAGTGTTAACTGTTACAAAACAATAATTCAAAAAATATTCTACAAGTAGGTTTACTTACCGAGATTGTTATAGATGGAACACCAATTAAAAAAGGCATTGGAGCACTATAATAAAACAAACAAAACCATGTGATTATTTTGGCCACTAAAGAGAATTTGCTTTAATTCAATAGGAATACAAGTTAATAAAAAAACAACTTTTAGTGTTTTATTAACAATTTAATAAAGTGTTAATATTTACGTCCAAAAAAGAGAATAAGTAAATGGATACTAGATGTGGCCCCAAGGTTTTGTAGCTTACAAGCACTGAAAGATAACATACGCACACTCTAAGTGTTTTGTTTGTTTGGTTATTTGTAGTTAAGCCCAAAGCTACACAATGGGTTATCTGTACTAAGCCTACCATGGGTACTAAAACCTGGATTCTAGTATTATAAGTTTACATAATTATTGCTGTGCCATTGGGGGGGGGGGGGGGGGCACACTCATGTCACTGTATATTAAATATATAAGAAGAAATTAAAGTGCTTTAAGTTATATTTGTTGTTAAGCACAATACTAAACACTAGACTATCTGTACTCTGCTCATTATGGGTATCGAAACCCAATTCGTAGCATTATAATCCCTCAGACTTAATGCTCACCAGCTGCTAATTTTCCCTCAATGAGTTTTGATGCTCAATATATATTTTTAGAAAGAATCAATATGTTATATGAATATTAATTCTTATTGATTACATGTTTTTAACTATTATATGAATATTAATTCTTATTGATTACATGAATATTAATTCTTATTGATTACATGAATATTAATTCTTATTGATTACATGAATATTAAACAGTGCATTAATTAAAGACAACTTACACAAACTGCATGACAGGATTTGACGACCAAAACTTGTCACCATATTTAGTTTATTAACACAGAGATACAAGTTGGTAGAAAATCATAAAATAATGTCAGCTTACATTTTTCGCCACTGCACATATATTCTAAATTACCTATTTATCAGAAATCTATTAGATAATATTTTTAAGTTACGACTACTATCATTCGTGCAAACAAACAAAGTTTAATACTATTTTACCTTACTAGAGTGACGATTTCGACGAAGTGTCGGGCTCGATGGGGCACTTCTTGGTTGGGTATTATCTTGGCATCTTACAGTTGTGATGTCCTAAAAGTTGTTTCCAAAATAACTCTTATAAATTCTATAATACACAGATATTATGTCAGATTAAATAAAAAGTTTGACAAGTTATAGTACGTATGGGCACAGAATTGAGAACAACCATTTCCAAAGCAGCTAAGCAATATTTAATGAAATACTTACTTAATAAAAAAGTTTAATAAATAGAAACATCCAAGCTGTGTAAGCTGCACAGAATTGAGAACAACCATTTCCAAAGCAGGTAAGCAATATTTAATGAAATACTTACTTAATAAAAGAGTTTAATAAATAGCAACATCCAAACAGTGAAGATTGAACTGAAAACTAATAATGTTACCCATTTTTAAGTCACAGTTTCCTCACTTTTAGCAGTCAGGCATGCACAACCAGATCTGAATTTCAAGATTATGGACTCAGTTCTTGGTCTTCTTGTTAGAAAAGCAGGTGTGCTATCATGCCACTAAATACAGTCCTTCTCAAGACTTTCCTGATGATGGCAGGAATTAGCATCAGAAACATCACAGAGACTTGTCATTTGTGGATATAGAAGTAGAATTTAAGTGTAATTGCTAACTTTGACACACTTCTGTTTGTGTACGCGAGCTGTAAGTGCCAGTCTTGGTGATATTACAAATGACATCACGCAGACTTGTCATTTGTGGATTTAGAAGTAGAATTTAAGTGCAATTGCTAACTTTGACACACTTCTGTTTGTGTACGCGAGCTGTAAGTGCCAGTCTTGGTGATATTACAAATGACATCATGCAGACTTGTCATTTGTGGATTTAGAAGTAGAATTTAAATTCAGTTGCTAACTTTGACCCACTTCTGTGTGTGTGTACGTGAGCTGTAAGTGCCAGTCTTGGTGATATTATTTAATTCTTCATTTTTTACTTTTTTTGTGATTTTGTTTTTATTATTCTTCCAGTTCCTTTAATTTGTGTCTTTATCATGTTTAAATAATTCAAAATTATGTTCAAAGTGTTATTTAACTACATATTCATTTTATCCGTGTTAGCCTCAAATTAAAGATTATTTCAACAGATTTGCTTGCTTATATTTTACTTGTATATTTTTCTCTATTCTAATAAATTTTCTCAATTGTTACACAGTTTTTAGTTTGAAGGCCCCTTTTTTTAAAGTGATACAGAGGTTAAAAGGTCAAAACTGTTGAACTGCTTTATAATGTGGTGGTCAATCCCACTATTCGTTGGTAAAAAATGAGACCAACAGTTGGTGGTTGGTGGTGATGACTAGCTGCCTTCCCTCTAGTCTTACACTGCTAAATTAGGGATGGCTTGTGCAGATAGCCCTCGTGTAGCTTTGCATGAAATTCAAAATAAACAAAACCATCGTTGCTGTAATTAAATCCCCTTTTTACTGCTGGGGGGTTACGTTAAATTTCACACAGAAAATAAGTAATTTCACTAAATATTTTGATTGGTTCTTTAGTTGATTGTTCCAACAAGCTAAATTATAAAATCGCTCGATATTTTGAAGTATGTATGGCTCATCAGTAATGAGTGCTTTATTTATTTATTGTTGTTATGTTTTTTTATGCTGAACATCGTCTATCTTTTCCTTTTATGCTGAACGTTGTCTCTTTTCTTTTTATATCCTTTTTGTTGTAGAATGTTAGTTTCTCTAAGCAATTAATACCGGGAAAACTTACACATTTACGTAACATTTGCTCGGCTAGTCTACTATGGATGCCTCTGTTCTTAAGTTCAGTAACTTTGAAATCACTGAATAAAGTTGTTGCTGTTGCCCTCTGTGTGAAAGTGAATATGCTATATGTATCAGTTCTACTGACAAGCCAAGTTGAAATTTGTGAAGAAAAAAAAAAGTTCCAGAAATATTTTTTCACTTCTTCAAATTTCAACAGAATTAGTTTTTGTATTAAAGGACATTTAATAAACAGAAATTGAATCACTGTTAGGCCTGGAAATAGAACAATTATATTTTATGATAAGAACGGGATACTTTTCACGATCCAGTCGTAAAGCCATTCTTTTTCAAGGTCACACTTTCTTTTGTGTCAATTTATGCTTCCTCAAATATGCTCTTATAACTCACCCGAACTTAAACATTTTCCTGTATCTATAATTAGTTCTGAAGATTTTCATTGTACAGTTGTGTGAAATTCTCAATTTCATGATGTAGATTTTTCTACTAAGTTAGATCAGTTTTCAATTATCACTATTTTTAACCATAAAGATCTAGCCATAAAGATAAACATTCTGTTAAAAGTTTAACTATTCAGTTTTCACATAGCTACTAGTTTGAAAGCATAGACTTAATATATTGTCTCGTATGCCAAGTTTGAAAAATGTTAAGCAATTCAGTGAATTTTATTTCATTATTCTAAACTCTAAACCACTCTAAAGGGTGAATTTTTTTAACAAAGTCAGAATTAATTACACACATTCATAGAATAATAACTTTAAAAGACCCGAAGGTTTATTTAAAGTAATGTTTTAGACGTATATGTTTTACTTGAAAAGGCTACTTTTCTACTAGTAGACATTTATACGCACTTAATGAAGATTGTGTTTTAGTCTAGGCATATATATTTACCCATTTCTATACGTTATATATAAAGAATTAAGCTACACAGAACCAATAAATACTGTTAAGCTGCAGCTGGAGATTGTCATGGAGATTTGTTTGAGAATATAGTGATTTTTACATC